CCTATGTTTTCTTTCAGTTTGGTGGCTAACAGAGTGATTAGTATCGTATACATTTTCTTTTTCAAAAGCAGACCATCGTTAATCATTTATATGTATGCGCGTAGATTGAACATTTGAATATATACGCGTGTAGATTGAACAGTATCGTATATATATTTTTTTTCAAAAGCAGAGACCATTATTAATCATTTATTTGTATGCGCGTAGATTGAACATTTGAAGAAAAAAAAGAACAAAAATGCCTGACTTGATGGGGATTCGAACCCTGGTTCTAGGGTACACCGTACACCAGCAAAAGAACGTAACATTGCAACACCAGTACATTGTTTACAAATTATTGCGCAATACTCTAATTATATGACCCCCCCCCCTCCACGTGGAGTTCCGAACAGGTCAGCAAGGATCTCAGTGCCAAAAACGGTGACGCTGAGATGTTATAACTCAGCACCATCAGCCGACGGTTCATTTTTGCCATTTGTTTTGGTACGGGTTAAGGGTCAATTTATCAAATTTTTAGTAGTTATTTATATTTGTTTGCCTAAATTTTCATAAACAGTGTTCATTAAGAACAGATTCTTCCTTATATTCGATAACTAGGTCACAGATGTTCTACTAAACTAAGGGGCATGTAATTTTATTTTTCATTTCACTGGATTTTAGATTTCAAATTATACTACCACTGCAAGAAATATCATTTGATAGTGAACTAAGTAACCTAGCTAGTAATTATTTGGGGGTGGTAAAATAGGGGAAAAAGTGTTTTGTTGGGAGGTGAAGTACGATGCGGTGCAGTGGTATAGAACATACCTAAAATACTACTACAAGGACTGATAGCGATATGAATGGGGAATATTTGTGTTGCGTTGTTTTTAGAATGTTTTTTGGCAAGAAGGAAGACTATTTGTACAATTTGAACAAATTATTTGATTGTTGAAAAATTAAATATATGATGTAATATTTTGACAAAATATTAGATAGCTACACAAACTGCAAGTTGTCTCACGCATTGGTATTTTAGCTAAGAATTTATATTTATATTTTCCTCTCTGGACAATTTCGATGGACATATATCAACCAAAGATTTGCGCGCTGAAAGGCCGATCTCAAGTTTTGTTCCACGCATGCATTCACCATGATTAATTTGTGGGGTAAATCGAAAAATCCAAATCCACTACATCAATATTGCAAGAAGTCAAGCAACCAAATCGATCTCTCATCGTCATGCTTTGCATCTATATATGGTTTCCCTTCAAAAAGAAAACGAAAAAAAATTGCGCCTATAGTTGTCCGGAGACACGTGAAGATTGCAATACTTTGGTATTGAACTTGAGCAGAAAGAGACGTCACTGATATGGACAGATATTAAGATGCTTTATTGAGTACACTGCTGGATCAGAGCTAGCCATGCAGATGATCTTACATGTTACTTGGTTTTCAATGATAACGTCATTGACTTTTTCACACTTTTTAACCATTTATTTTGTTTAAAAAGTATGTAATTATTATTTTTACTTGATTTATCATTAAAAATACTTTAAGCACAACTTATATATTTTTATTTGTACTAAATTTTTGAATAAGATGAATAATCAAAACTTGTGTCAAAACGTCAATAAGATTATCTATTGAAAACAGGAAGAAGGTTACAACAAACTGTCAGTGTCAACCGTGCACTCAACACCAGATCATCCTCCAAAATATGATATAATAAGTTCTTAGCAGCCGGGGAATATTGCAGTTAATTATATTTTTCCCTACATGATAAAAAATGATTTGAGAGGGAAAGAACAAGATATAAGGAAACAGATGGGCCTTTTGTCTGTTTGTTTGCCTTGGGAAAAAAAATCTAGCTTCGGGAGAATGTATGAATATATGATGATACGATTCGTGTTGTTCATGTTGAGAAACTTGGGTTTTGGCCCATGAAGATCAGCCCAATACAATAATTGAATCTCACCCTACTTTCCATGTACGTATAAGAATTGGCTGGATAAAGAGAGCATATGAGTGATTTTGTGTAATAAGAATACTCTGGTCCATATCTTGTGTCTGCACTTTTATCCATACTTACAAAATCCTTTTGGACTAGTGTACATATTAGATGGATTGGGTATCCCACATGCATTGAGTAAGTGAAACGTGAACAACAACTTAGCTATCTTTTCCTAACTCCGCAGTTCCACCACGTAGAAATGTACATGTAGAAAAAGTCGGCCGTATCGGCTCACTATACTCACTATACGGCCGATTATACAATTCTCATTATGATTTTATTTAGATTAGATGATAATTTGAGCAAGCACAAATAAATAATTTGAGCAAATTATACTGCCGATTTTATTTTGATAAAATAAATAATTAGTCGGCCGTATCGGCTCACTATACTCACTGTACGGGCGATTTTACTTTGATATAAAATAATTTGAGCAAGCACAAAAATTTATTCTACACGTGGGACCTTATGTGCATGCTCATATCGAGCTTAAGAAACCGTATGAAGCCATACAACTGTCGATTCTTAAGTAGCCATAGCTTTACACATGTGAGCATTCACGCGACCTCAGCTTGCGCGAGCGTTCACGTACGCGCGTTTTCAGTTCGTGACACAGATCCCTGTGATTTGCATGTTTCAAACCCTCTATCCGAAATCTCAACGAAATTGCAAACTCTTGGCCTGCAGATTCGAATGGAAGCCTATGAAAAAGAAATTCAGTGGCAGTTGCATCAGTGATGATGTGATTGCAGCTAACGGCACGAAAACGACGGGTGCACAAACTCCACCAGAAAACCGGTTATCCAGTGCCATTATATATAATACTGTTTTTTTTATGCGAAAGGCTACCTACTCCCTCCGTTTACATTTATATTATAAGACATTTTAACTTTTTATTTCAAACCTTTTATAAGTTTCATCAAATTTATAGAAAAATCTAGCAACGTCTATAATAATAATCATTAAATCTAACACTAGATATATTTTAATAGAATTTTTTAAAAATGTTGCTATGTCTGTTATGTACTTAATCGAATTATAAAAAGTTTAACTTAGAAAAAAAATCAAAAAATCTTATAATAGAAAGTAACAAATGCGAAGTGTGATATTACGTGACTGAAGGTCGTGCGTCGATTGTGATTTTAAGCCACGTGTCCTGATCTCGTTGGACAGTGGCCGGCTGCTAAGGAGCAGTGGAGCAGCCATTAAAAATCTGCACAATTTGGCCTTATCCATCAATGAAGGTGCTGATGCTTTCCCTTTCTAATTGGACAACACACTTCCCTACAAGCAAGGGAAGCAATTAACATGGGAAGTGGGGATCAAGATCAGAGACACCCAGTGACTCCAATAATTAAGGAACAAAAGTTTCTTCTTTGTTTTTTTTTCTTTCATTTTGAGACAAACAGAATCTGCCCCCACTTAAAAAGATTAAAAAGATGCAGGGATATATACAAATTTTCATCTATAATGCATGAAAGAGAAAAGCATTTTTGTGGACTATAATTGGAATGGACCTCAGTTTTGTTGAACTATTATATATGTTGCACAACTCATTTTTACTGTACATGTGTTTTTCAACTACATTTTAGTTGGATGAGTATAGTAGTGGTGGGGGCCTGTTGAGAAGATAAAACGACTTATATATATATAAGTGTCGGTGTTGATTTTTGTTTTAGGTGTAAAGGAATCTTTATTGAACATTTTGTTCAGTACAAAAAAGAGGCATCATTAAAATGATATTTAGAACTAAATAAAGTTGTTCGATCAGGGTTTATATGGCTTTATATGTTTTTCCTACTATGTATGCAATTCATATAGTAAGTGCAAATTAAAGCCGCTGAGGTTTAAGGTGCAGTGACATGATTCATATCCTTTCCTACAAATACGTGTGGTTCAAATAAACACGGAAACATGGCCAGCTTTGAGTTACGACCTTATCCTAGTTTTCAAGGGGAAGTTGTTAGACAAACTACACAGCTTATTCGAACCTTTTTATTTTTTTTCATCATAATTAGAACCTCTTTAAGTAATGCAAGAAAAATCAAACACTTTAAGGTACTACAATATTTTTTTAGGTACTAAAAAGGAATTCGTTTTTTTTATAGAAAAGGTATAAATAAGGCAGGAGCTACTACTACAAGCTAGTAGCGCTTAAACCTTGCCTGTGATAATAGTTCAATTTTACTTATAGTGCTATAGTTGCAATTGATATGTACCGGAGACGTTCATATGTTACGGTAAGTCACTAGTATATAAACTAGACCCATCAAAATTTAAAATCTGGTGGCTACCAATGCTAAACATATGCGTGAGCTTTTAATAAGATTTTATTAAGGCTAAGTTGCCGCTGTTAATTCGTTATTTTGAGTATGTGTTTAGAGGTATTTTATGTACGGTGATATGTGTACGTTTGCTTCTTTCCTGTAATAAAAAAACCAATTGTATGTGATATTTGGGATAATTGTATCCTCATTTTCAATCCTTTGCAAGGAAAATAATATAGAGTTTGCAGCGGGAGAATATATGGTGGTGTTTGAATCTTCTAAAGATGAAGATAAAATAAAGATTAAGTGTTTCAAAAAAACGAGGTGGTAATAACGTATGATTAATTGAGTTTTAATTATTACAAACTTAGAAAATAGATTAATATGATATTTTAGAGCAACTTTCATATAGAAAATTTTCACACAAAACACACCGTTTAGCAGTTTGAAAAGCGTATCATGAGTATCCAAAATTATATCCTCTGCTGATAGAAGAAACAAACGGGGATCTATTTATAGGTTTTGGAGTACGTATATATAATGTTTTGTTTCTAGAAGGCTAAGGTTGTCGTCGCTGCAGAGGTTTATCTCCAAAAACCGGAAATCAAATCAAAATTTGTCCTGAAAAACTATGAACACGCTGTGTCGTACGTCACGGCCCACGTCATCATCATACCGTTTTAACCTTTTAACTCTCTCTCTCCCTCTCATCACCATCATCACCATCATCAGTATAAATCCGCCATCTCCTTTCTCGCGCCGTCTCATCTCATCTTCTTCGACGCGTCGCGCCGGTGAGCACTCACACTCTCACCGGCGGCGGGCGGCGGCGGGATCGATGGACGACGCCGGCGAGATACACGCGCTCGGGGGCAGCCTGCGGCGGGAGGCGTCGTCGGCGCGGTCGGGCGACGCCGCCGTGTTCTTCTCGCGGTCGTCGTCGAGGGATGAGGACGACGAGGAGGCGCTGCGGTGGGCGGCGCTGGAGAAGCTCCCCACCTACGACAGGGCGCGGACGGCGGTGCTGGCCATGCCGGAGGGCGAGCTCCGGGAGGTGAACGTGCAGCGCCTCGGCCCCCAGGAGCGGCACGCGCTGCTGCAGCGCCTCGCCTGGGTCGGCGACGACCACGCCCGCTTCCTCTCCAAGTTCAAGGACCGCGTCGACAGGTACCAGATTCGAATTTTTCTTTTCTTCTTTTTCAAATTCCGCCCTCCTCAGTTCAGTTTAGAGTTCAGACGAAGAAAAAACTATTTCCAAAAATTCGAAAAAGTTCTCTCGCGTGATTCCAAATTAGTGTCACATCATGATAAGTGTAGAGTGATTTTGATGGTTTTGGATTGATGGATGCGCGCATGCAGGGTTGGGATCGAGCTGCCGACGATCGAGGTGCGGTACGAGAACCTGAATGTGGAAGCGGAGGCGTACGTTGGTAGCAGAGGTTTGCCCACCATCCTCAACACCTACGCCAATGTGCTGGAGGTACTATATCATCAGTCTATAATAATAATCATCATGTGTTGTGGTAACTAATCACAAACAATTGAGTAGTTTCGCCAACTAATCTGGCTGATGATGAGAGTTGGTACAGAGATTGTTCAGTTTTTCAGATTAGTTTTGGGGTTTTAGAGTACTCACAGTTCAGCAGTAGGCAGTTTTCTGAATAAACTGAACACTTTGCCCGCTTTTCATTGGTGTACAGGGTACCTACCCTGATGTGTTTACGTGCTTGAGCTTTGCATAGTAATGCCAAAGTGTCACAGTCAATACTCAATAAAATATGCTACGAGACGTCAAAATAAATTGGTCTCGTTGACTATTTTCAGAGAGGGTACTTCTAGTCAGAGTTTTCTTTCTATTGCAATAATAGAAACGTAACTCAAACTGGTACATCCACCGATAGGAGAAAATTAGTAAATTTCACAAAACTACAAATACTTTGTTCAAATTATCACAAAACTACAGATTTAAGGTGATATATCATAAAACTACAGAATTAAAGTGATGTATCAATCTGTAGTTTTGTGTTAATTTAGTCAATATATCTGTGGTTTTGTGAAACTTAGTTGGCAAAAACAAATTCAGTGCTTGTCATTAATTTTGATTACGACAATCGCCCGTGTTAGCTAGAGAGCTTCCTGTAGTGCAGCAAAATTCTGGGCCACTGTTAAGACAGTCAAACCGGTGATCCTGAAGAGCAACGAGATTAGGTTCTCTGGTTGGAGTTGGTAACACGACTTCTCTTGGACATCTTGATAAACAGCAGACTTGCCTGATTGGTACTCCAAACATAGGGCTCTGCAAATACAGAATTCATCATCAGTAGACCTCCTAAACAATATCTACAGCAAGGATGTAAATAACACATAAACAAGGATATCAAGTTAAATTAAATTTATTTTTAGTTTAACAGAAGGAACTGTGAATGTAAAACATGAATGTACAGTACACTTTTTGTTTGCATTCATCTACCAAATGACATCAGACTCCCTTCTTGTACTGTCCACGCATGTGCACTGACAAGGTGTTAATCACCTCCATACAAACAGGGTCTGGCAAACACTCTTCACATAACACCAAATAGGAAGCAGAAAATATCGATCCTTCACAATGTCAGTGGGATAATCAAGCCTCACAGGTAACTTCCCAGCATATTGCCAGTTTCCAGATAATATTCATTTTGTTCAGTATGTTAACTTATACCTCTGTTTTCAGAATGACCTTGCTTTTGGGTCCTCCTGGCGCTGGAAAAACCACACTTCTTTTGGCCTTGGCTGGAAATGTCCCTTCAGGTCTAAAGGTACTCAATTATTCTTTTTATTTACTTGAGTACATTGCTTTGTCAGTTTATCATACCCTTGGAAGTACTAGTACTAAATGTAACATTGCAACCGCACAAGGTATCTGGACAAATAACATACAATGGCCATACCATGGATGAATTCGAGCCCCGGAGATCAGCAGCTTATGTTAGTCAACATGATCTACATATGGGTGAATTGACGGTTCGTGAGACAGTCAATTTCTCTGCAAAATGTCAAGGAATTGGCCACCGTTACGGTAAGAAACAGAAAAATGAAAAAAAAAATCTGGACAATGGCATGTCACATGGAATAGCTAACAATTTTCTGAAAAAATGCTCAGATCTGCTAATGGAACTATCAAGGAGAGAAAAGGAAGAAAATATTAAACCAGATCCAGAAGTAGATATATACTTGAAGGTTCAATGCAGTTCTTATATCACAATTCATTTAATTCACAAGTTGTTCCATTTTGTTGATTTTTAGTTTTTGTCATCTACAATTGTTTCAGAGAATAGCTTCATTCATATGAACTTCCTATTTGGCTTGTGTAGGCTGCTGCAACAGGAGAGCAGAAAGCCGAGGTGGTCACAAATCACATACTAAAGGTGCATGAACAATAACTACTTATATACAGTTCTAATATAATTTACGTTAGCTATCACCATTCAAACTTCAATGGCAACAAATGTTTCTCCCATGTTCTCAGGGGGTATACAAAATGAAAGGTGTTTATGATACTAATTCTTCAATTCTTGTTTTTATTCAACTATTGAAGGTCTTGGGATTGGATATTTGCGCTGACACAATCGTAGGCAACAATATGTTGAGAGGCATATCAGGGGGGCAGAAAAAGAGAGTAACCACAGGTAATGTATCTTTGGTACAAATAAAGTACTAGATGCTTACATATTGCAGACATACAAGGTTCACTGCTTACCCGGACCCTGAAATTGGTGTTGCAGCTGAGATGATTGTCACCCCAGGACGAGCCCTTTTCATGGATGAGATATCAACTGGACTTGACAGCTCCACAACATACAATATTGTGGACTCCATCCGGCAGACCATCCACATTGTTGGTGGAACAGCAGTCATTGCTTTGTTACAACCTGCACCAGAGACATATGAATTGTTTGATGATATAATCCTCCTCTCAGACGGTCAGGTCGTCTACAATGGTCCTCGTGAACATGTGCTAGAATTCTTTGAATCAGTTGGCTTCAAATGTCCTGAGAGAAAAGGCGTAGCAGACTTCTTGCAGGAAGTGAGTAATTGAGTTCTCTCAACATGTTTTATCAAGCTTTTTTCTAGTGACACATCTCATGGAAAAAATGCAGTATCTTGTTACAGAACAAGACTGGACATATATGACAAAGTAAACTATGCAAATATAATATTGTTTACAAATGAAATGGATATAGAAGTAGCATTACTTGAAAATATTTCTTATACTGGACTTGAAAATATTTCTTACACTGGGCTTTCTCGCTTAAGAAAAAATAGAAATTAAAAGAAGAGGACAATGTAGAAAACTTTCTAGAGAATTTTTAAATGCTACAATCATAATTTAGTGCAACTTTTGAGTTTGAATTAATATAAATGATATGTTATAGGTTACTTCAAGGAAAGATCAGCGGCAATACTGGATGCATGGTGATGAGACATACCGATATGTTCCTGTTAAGGAGTTTGCAGAGGCATTTCAGTCTTTCCATGTTGGTCAGGCAATAAGAAGTGAGTTGGCAATCCCATTTGACAAGAGCAGGAGCCACCCTGCTGCCCTGAAAACATCAAAATATGGTGCTAGCATGAAAGAACTGCTTAAAGCGAACATTGACAGAGAGATATTGCTCATGAAAAGGAACTCCTTTGTGTATATATTCAAGGCAACTCAGGTTATTCTTGAAACCGAAACTTTTCAATACAGGTTTCTATTAAGAAAAAACATGGAAGCCGATAACAAATTTAATTTGTGTTGTTTCTCTCTTATTCAGTTAACACTCATGACATTCATTGCGATGACTGTCTTTATCCGCACCAATATGCATCATGACTCAATAACAAATGGGGGAATATACATGGGCGCACTCTTCTTTGGGATCCTGATGATCATGTTCAACGGATTGGCAGAAGTTGGTCTAACTATTGCAAAACTCCCTGTTTTCTTCAAGCAAAGGGATCTCCTCTTCTATCCAGCATGGACATACTCCTTACCATCATGGATCATTAAGACTCCACTCTCCTTGCTCAATGTAACAATATGGGTCTTCATAACATATTATGTCATTGGATTTGATCCCAATGTAGAGAGGTAAAGAAAACAAAATTTCCACATTGCATTGTGCCTTCCTATGAATGTATTGCAGAAACTAATGAAATAATTCAATGCTTCAGGCTTTTTAGACAGTTCCTGCTGCTTTTAGTAATGAATGAGACATCATCTGGACTGTTTCGCTTCATTGCTGGGTTTGCAAGGCATCAGGTTGTTGCAAGCACTATGGGTTCATTCTGTATACTCATTTTTATGCTTTTGGGAGGATTTATCCTGTCAAGAGGTAAGGCAGAAATTATCTATATTCTTCAATCAGATTGCTTATGTTCCTCTATAATTTCCACATCAAAAAAATAATGAATGGACGCTGATTTGATTGAACAGAGAACGTGAAGAAATGGTGGATATGGGGATACTGGATATCACCCCTGATGTATGCACAAAATGCCATATCAGTAAACGAATTTCTAGGTCACAGCTGGAACAAGGTAAAAAAAATACTCATGGAAATCGATTAACAGCCATTATATGAATGTCTGGCTAAAGTGTTCTGTTCTTGCTGTACTGCAGACAATACCTGGTTTCAGGGAGCCACTTGGAAAACTAGTTCTTGAATCCCGTGGAGTTTTCCCTGAGGCCAAATGGTATTGGATTGGTGTTGGTGCATTGCTCGGATACGTCCTGCTATTCAATATCCTCTACACAATCTGCCTCACATTCCTCAATCGTGAGTCAGAAATAAATTATATTTGGAATGCCAGAGCTTATAAATTCTCATTTTTATAATTTCTCATTTTTATGCATTCTTTCACTGCAGCATTTGACAGCAATCAGCCAACAATATCTGAGGAGACGTTGAAGATAAAACAAGCTAATCTGACCGGTGATGTTATAGAAGCATCCTCGAGAGGACGAATTACCACCAACACAAGTACTGTTCGCTTTTGTATTTAGCTGTCTAAATATGATTTAACATAATGAGTTTCCATCTAACAACAACCTCGGATATGTGATATGCCTACCAGACACTGCGGATGATAGTAATGATGAAGCAATTTCCAACCATGCAACAGTGAATTCTAGTCCAGGCAAGAAAGGAATGGTTCTCCCTTTTGTACCTCTCTCCATCACGTTTGAAGATATAAGATACAGTGTTGACATGCCAGAGGTATTTGGTAGAGAATTACTGAAATATAAATATATCTGAAATGTGCATGCTCAGTATGAAGATTCTCCTATATCTATAATACTTAAGAGCAACTCTAACTGGCTTTAATATCCAATGAAACTTGTAGGTAATTAAAGCACAAGGTGTGACAGAGAGCCGGTTGGAGCTATTGAAGGGCATCAGTGGTTCATTTAGGCCAGGAGTACTTACAGCTCTTATGGGTGTCAGTGGTGCTGGAAAAACAACATTGATGGATGTGTTGGCTGGGAGGAAGACCAGTGGATACATAGAGGGTAACATTACCATCTCTGGCTATCCAAAGAAGCAAGAAACTTTTGCTCGTGTATCAGGATACTGTGAGCAGAATGACATCCATTCACCAAATGTTACTGTCTACGAGTCTCTTGCATTCTCTGCATGGCTCCGATTGCCTGCGGAAATTGATTCTGCAACAAGAAAGGTTTGACAAAAAATAACTAGTATTTTAATATGTAAGCATATACCATAAAAGCATACACAGCATGATTAAAAATGAGAATGCATTTCTTTTCAATTGATCTAGAATGCCATGCAATGTATCAATCAACAAATAGATGGTGCTAAAAATTTTAGCTGCAAAGTTTCATACATAAACTAGAGGGGATGTTCTGGTCATATTTGCATAGTAGACATTTATTTCGTAACTCGTAAGACCATCATGCATATTATGACAAATGAAATCTGGTTTGCAGATGTTTATTGATGAGGTCATGGAACTTGTGGAGCTTTCCCCCTTAAAAGACTCCTTGGTTGGATTGCCTGGCGTTAGTGGATTATCAACAGAACAAAGGAAAAGGCTAACAATAGCAGTGGAGCTAGTTGCTAACCCATCTATCATATTCATGGATGAACCAACATCTGGACTTGATGCACGAGCAGCAGCCATTGTCATGAGGGCAATAAGAAATACTGTGGACACAGGAAGAACAGTTGTTTGCACAATTCACCAACCAAGCATTGACATATTTGAATCTTTTGATGAGGTGATAGAAATCATACCCACTTCTTTTGTCACATGGATTTAAGATGCACTCTTTCAATACATACTTATACTATCTTTGCAGCTATTCCTGATGAAACGAGGAGGTGAGGAGATTTATGTAGGTCCAGTAGGTCAGCACTCGTGTGAATTGATCAGATATTTTGAGGTAAAAAAATTATATATGTTACCATCAATTTGACTTTTTGCTCTAAAAACATGTAATTGAGCTGCTTTCATTTTCTAAAGTCTATTGAAGGTGTCAGCAAAATAAAACATGGCTACAATCCATCAACATGGATGCTGGAAGTGACTAGTACTGTACAGGAACAGATAACTGGGGTTAACTTCAGTGAAATATACAAGAATTCTGAACTGTACAGGTAAGTACCTGGTTGCCATATGGTTGATAATTTTGACTATAGACCATGCAAATTTTAAGCTCCGCAATTTTATATTGGAAAATTAAGGCAGCAACGATCAGTATCATGTTCAGTGTGTCTTAACTATTTTCAAGAGGGTAAGTCACTAAATGGAAAAGATGAGCCTGTTTGTGAAAAAAATATGGACTATAAATGAAGCTCAAATCATGAATGGCCCATCACAAATGCTTCAAACTGCCACTATATGTGTAACATGATTATTACTGTAGCAATTTATGTTCAAAAGCATCTAAACGAGTCAATGTTAACAGTTCAATAATATTATAGTCTCTTTTGCATTACAGGAGGAATAAAAGTATGATAAAGGAGCTAAGCTCACCTCCTGATGGTTCAAGTGACCTATCCTTTCCAACAGAATACTCTCAAACTTTCATCACACAATGTTTGGCTTGCCTATGGAAGCAAAGTCTGTCCTACTGGAGAAACCCTCCATATACTGCTGTCAAATACTTCTACACCATTGTAATTGCACTGTTGTTTGGAACAATGTTCTGGGGTGTTGGCAGAAAAAGGTATACGGTCAATAAAAACAAGTAAAAATGTATATGCAACATTTTCCACTGATTTAGAGAGGCTACCTTGAGATTATATCTGTCACAATTCACTGAGGATACTCCACTCTTGCAGGAGCAATCAACAGGACTTGTTCAATGCCATGGGCTCCATGTATGCGTCAGTTTTATTTATGGGAGTGCAGAATTCTTCTTCCGTTCAGCCAGTTGTGTCTGTTGAACGCACTGTGTTCTACAGGGAACGAGCAGCTCACATGTATTCACCTTTGCCATACGCCTTGGGACAGGTAAAGTTATTTTACATTAACTTTATTATACAATAGCATTGATATTTGTATGATAGGAAAGAGAAGATTATTATTTGAAGGGGAAAAAAGAGCAGCTCAATTAACATGTAAAGCATCAAAATCAAATGGAAGCTTGTACATATGAGGCTTCTAAAAGGGTTATATAAAATATTTTAACCAGGATATAACACAATGGTTGAACAACTCCCGAAGTAATTGGAAGAAAATGGTAAAAGAAACACTATGTGCTGCTAACATACAATTCTGTCCGCAGGTTGCAATTGAACTTCCATACATCCTTGTTCAGTCCTTAATATATGGTGTTCTAGTGTATGCAATGATTGGATTTGAGTGGACAGCTGCCAAGTTCTTTTGGTACCTGTTTTTCATGTATTTCACTTTATCATACTACACATTTTATGGCATGATGTCGGTGGGTCTGACTCCAAGCTATAACGTGGCCTCTGTTGTTTCCACTGCATTCTATGCCATATGGAACCTTTTCTCAGGATTTATAATACCAAGAACTGTAAGTATACTAATATTTCACAAATGTCTTATAGTAATTTCACTTATGGAGCATCTGCCTTTTCTAATACAGCCTATTTTTTTATTGGCAGCGAATTCCAATATGGTGGAGATGGTACTATTGGGTCTGCCCTGTTGCGTGGACACTCTACGGGTTGGTAACTTCACAGTTCGGGGATGTAACTGACACGTTTGATAATGGTGTCCGTATATCTGACTTTGTCGAGAGCTACTTTGGTTACCATCGTGACTTCTTGTGGGTGGTTGCCGTGATGGTGGTCTCATTTGCCGTCCTCTTCGCCTTCCTTTTCGGGCTCTCAATCAAGATATTCAACTTCCAGAAGAGATAAATTGAGGAAGGCATACCCGAGTTGTGTATAGCATGTGAATACTAGCACATCGTAATTGTACAGCTTGAAAGCACATTTGTATCACCATAATTGTACATCTTAAAGCACATTGTGTATCCTGGAATTCATGGTACTCAGATTAACAAGTTGTTTCATTGAGTTTTTTGCACTGGCTGCCCCCCTTGAGAAACTGAAAATATATATATCGCGCTCCACATCCTCCTAGACTCTTAGTCGAATCCCTAAAACTCACATCCCTTTGAGAAACGAATCGGGAGCCCATGAAACTACCCATACGAACCTACTGAACTTTGGGGTAGGCAGCGGCCACTGATTCCTCTCCAATGGCGCATTCGATTTGGTTGCGAAGCGCAATAATGACCGCGAATAATCAAGCAAAAGCTTGTAGGGGAAGCAGATGCGGCAGTCAATCAACAGGGTGGGGGGAGGGGGGGGAGTGTGGCTTACTCGTGGGCAGGAGGCCATGGCGCCATGAAGCCCCGGAGCGGCTCGAGGGAGAGGCTGTGCACGCCGCCGCCGCCGCCGCCGCCTCTCGCCGGTGGAGAGAGGCTGTGCACGACGGCCTGGACCAACACAGGCCAGTTCTTGGGCCATTTGGGCAACCAGCAAGCCCACTAGAAACTGGAGCCCATAGCCCATTCTCATTTTCTTATGATGAGTTTTTTTTTTATTTATGTATACGCATATGTTTTTATTTATAAAAATATTTCTTTTGAAAGTTTACAGAATATACACTCCCGTCCTCCAGGAGTTCTTCTTTTGGGCGAATTTTCCGTACAACACCGTTAATACAAGATTTAGCTTCTGGATATAGCAAAATTTGATCTATAGGGAAGATATTCCCAAAATGTGAATATATGCTATTTGACACCATAACTACTATAATATTCACTACCAATTAAATAGCAAAAGGGTCAGAAATGCCCTTGGCCCCATATATCTATCACATATTATCTCAAGCACGTATAGCAGCGAATTGAGAACTGTGTAGTACAGTCGGTGAGAAAGGGTAACCGATGAGCCAGGCTCACTTGACAACGTGGTGTTGGAAGAAGACCTCGAGGAGGCATGCATGCTTGATGCTACCAGGAGCCACTGCTGGCTTGGGTGTGTGGGCGAATGACGTGATTGATGAGCGACTCGCACGGTGTTGATGAGAGGGCTGGCGCAAACGGGCCAGTGAGCACGAGATGCAGTGGCAGAGGAAGTGTACATTGAATCGCATGGGGAGACTTTAGATGTGGATCCGGAGATCGGCATATAATGCCCCGTTTGGTACAGCTCCAGTTCCCAACTTACCTGGAGCCGGAGTTGTGCCAAACAGTCTAGATCCTCCGTTTTTTGGAGCAGAGTTAGCAGAACTGCTCCACAAAATTGTACTACGGGGGTGGAGCTAGGTTTTTGCTGCTCCACTCCACCCCAAAAGACCCATTACCCTTTAATTTTTTAGTGTAATTATGTAAAAATGCCACTGAACTATCCCTACCCACATCCTCTCCTCCCGTTCTCTCTCCTCCCCCATCTTCCTCCCGAGTCCAATAGCTGCGGCGGTGGGCGGCAGCAGCGGCGGCAGGTAGCTTCGGCCACGACAGCGGAGGAGTGAGAGGGATCGGGGCGATGGCGTCGGTTGTCGCGGTGGAGGGCGCGGCGGCGGCGCTCTGGTCGGGGCTGTCCCGCGGTGTTGGCAGTGGCAAGACGACGCGCGGCGGCGGGAGGCGAGCTAGCAGGCGGCGGCGGCAGGCACACGACCACAGCAGGTCGGCGGGACGACGCGCGAGCGGCGGGCAGTGAGCTAGCGGGCGAAGGCCGGCAGGCAGTGGGCGGCGCGCGCGGCCACAACGCATTGGCGGCGGCGGGCGGCGCCATGTGATTGGGCTGCCGGCGACTAGGTTTCTTTTTTTCTTTCAATTTTTTTTTCAATTTAATTGTTTTTTCAATTTTTTTTCAGATCTAGAGCTGAAAACTAGCCAAACACTTCTCAACGAGTCTCCAACTCCATTAGGAATTAGCTCCCACTGAAGTAGGAGTTTGGAGTTAGAAGTTGGAGTTAGCAGTCTGGAGTTTGGTGTGGCAGAGCTCAAGGAGGCAGAGTTTCGGATAGCAGTATAACTCCTCCCTTGCTCTGTCCCTATGCTGCCGCAACTTGCATGGAGAAAGCGAAAAAAATAGATGGGAGAATCGACATATGGGACCACGATTATTTATGACTTTTCATACTGTTTCTTTCTCATATTTAAGTAAGAAATGAATATTCTAATGGGTGTGTGTCTAGCGGAAAATATTCGTATTTTAAGAGTATTTTTTTCTTAAATATTGACTTTTGATATGTACAGGAGCTAAAACCATAAAGTCACGTTGTCTTATATTTAGTGCATTCTCCCATGGAGCCATATTGAAGACATTAAAAAAAAAGTGCACCCGTAGAAGGAGCAGTTGCCACCAGCGGGGAGGGCGGTTTATCCACCCCACCCTTAAACCCCTTTCTCCCCACCAAAATTCATTTAAATTCCTCAAAAATCCATGAACAGAAAAGAAAGAGAAGGATGAGGAGAGAGGAGGAGGAGAGCTGTGAACATATATCGGTTTGCGGAACTTATTTTCCTTGCACCAATGCGATTTCCTTTAAAAGTCGTAGGGATATGACCATTATGAAGCAATATTAACGCGCGTAACAGAAATATTACTGAATAGTTAATGATATTGTGTACTTTGCAATTAATTATATGTGACGTACTTCTGTAATATAGTTTGAAAGGATCTTGATGCTGTCTAGCCAAAGAGAGAGAATAGGTGTTCATGAAAAACATTAGTAAAGAAATTAAACTTCAATCGAAACTTCTGGTCCCAACTAATCGAACCTTCAATCAGCAAACTCGCTGGGACCGAGAGTGCTGATCGGAACATCCATTACCTATCATCAAACAAAGACGAAACCAGTGTCGATAGTATAAAGAACAAACATCAAGCCACACTTCAACTGCAGAGACCGCAAAAAAATTACAAAAAACTAGAAAATTCGAAATAAATCGGAGAATGCTAGGTAGTTATATATGGAACACACAAAGCTGAGGAGCATTAGATTGACCAATCAGCTGGTGGCATAACCGTCAACTTTAGGTAATTAGATATCGCGGGTCGAGAATCTAGGTGCATTTTACCCATTTTCAAAAAAAATAGCCAGGTAGCTTATATAAAAAGAAAATTTTTATAAGATAAGTTATATAAGCTAGGAGAACTAGGGCATATGGGCGTTTTTTCCGTTTAGTAGCACAAACCCATATAATTGGGAATTAGTTAGGTGGATGCATGGATTGAGAACTAGGACACTGGTTATTTCTGAATACTAGTACCATATCCATGCGTTACAAAGGAACTAAATTATAGGGCTTAGTTTTTGTATGAGGTCTTTCGGATTGATTTTCAAACGAAAACATGAGTTGGGTGAATTTTCATACGGTTTTTTTTTATAAGGGAATGGGAACTATAAGTGTGGCAGGAGAAGGATGACCCTTATGAAAGATATAGTAATATGCCTGTGCTTTACAATAGGTCAGGCCCATGTAACTGGTGATTGGCTGGTAGGTGGATTGAGTATGAAAAACAGGTTGTGCCCATTTAATTAGGGATTGACTGAGCTAAACCCCATATAATTACTTCCTCCGATTTCATTTTAATTGACGTTTTAGATAATAACACGGTCTACAAGATATATCTTTGACCTTATTTTTCTACTATAATATATATAATAAATAAATGCATGTTTACTTTTATTATAGCGCTTTAAAAGACAAATCTATATATGTTGTTCTAGTTCCTTTAAACTAAATATTTTTAAAGTTATTGATAGTCAAAGTTATAAAAGTTTGACCTCAACTTTCTCTAAAACGTTAATTAATATGGAACCGGAGGGAGTAGGAATTAGATAGGTGGGTGGATTGAGAAAAAAAAAATACTGTATCCTACTGTGGTTACTTGACCTCCGCACACCGATCTCTGCGCACAGGACGTCTTGAAAGTAGTAGAAAGGAAAAATTCAGACCAGTGAGGAGATCAGTTTGTAGGCTGATGCTCTAATTCTGATCAGAGTTTCTCTTGATACAGCGACGTGACGAGACTTTGGTAACTATACCCTGCAGGGTTTTCGTCACCCTGCCGTGCCGGGAGAGACGACATACGCTATGCTTCACACAATTGTCATAGTGTGTACCTTGTTGCACAATGAGAACACGCGCGTAGCCACGTCAACCACCGTTATGTCATCCAAAAAACTGACCAAAATTCGGTACATGAAAATGGCAGGTTAAGTGCAACTACAGTAAACCTAGCTGCATCTCAGCCATCTATATATAAAATGGGTATTGCTAGAATTATGAAATTATAAGAAAAAAATAAAACTAAATATTCCATGTAATTCCAATGGCATTTTTAGCTCAGTGGGATACCAAATAAAAACTAAAAAGCACAGCATATTTACGATGATATGTTTTATTTTCAATATACATTCTTGTAACATATTCCAACCAATCAACGGGCAGATCTTTTCTTGGCAATGCCCAATTAGGTTTAAGCCATCTAAATTTAATATAATAATATTTTGAACTTTACAGTTAATAAATACAAAGTTCTACTACATCGTTTGCAGTTTGAATTTGCAACAAAACTATAATGTGCATTTAATGAAGGGAAGACGTAGCAACATGCACGTGGACCATGAGTTAATTTCCAAATAAAAAAAAAGCATGTACCAACTAGACTGACCAACTAGGCCGTTGGACTTTGAGCATGTTGTTCAATTAAACTAAATCCTAAAGATATCCAGTAAAATTCTTGGGCTGCAAAAGGTGCCTTAGATAATTATTAATTATTTGGGGATCAAGAGGATTTCACATCATGATAGACTCTAAATAATTTGTAACAGAAAGATATTTCTTCTTGGTAACTGAGATCAGAAGGATTTTCCTCACTTTTTAGGCATACTCCCTCGTACTCGTAAACGAAGTCGTTTTTGACAACGACACAGTCTTCAAAACACAACTTTGACCTTTTGTTTCTATAAAAATATTTATTGAAAAGTGATATATGTATACTTTTATGAAAGTATTTTTCAAGACAAATCTATTAATATAATTTTTATATTT